AAATCACATTGGAAAGAGGACTCACAATTTCTGAATGACGTAGTTGTATTTTACAAGAAGAAGCACTCAGAGTGCAAACCTCCACCAAGGCTACCCGCTATTAAGGGAAGTATTACATTTTGTATGTATGAATTTTGTTTTCTTTGTTTGTTTGTTTTTAAAAAAAAATTATTTTAAGAAGTTTGTAGTGCAGTAAAAATTAGGTAAAGGTAGGATTACAGATGTTTAATTTGATTATACAAATATTATGTAGGAGTGGGTAATGGATAATAGGTACTGACTTGCAGCTCTTTTTTCTTGATAATACTTTCTTTAACGATATAATACATTTTGGAGTCAACTCCACAAAGAAAGCTTGAGGTCAGAGGTCAAATATAACATCATTTGGATGCAGACTATATTATTTTTAGTCCCCATATACCAATATCATTTCCTAAATGTTGCCAATACAAACAATGGCAGTAGAATTCTAAACATAATTTTGAAGATAAAAGACTGAATGTTTGATGTTGTTTGACCTTGAAGGAGAGGCCAGAGGACAAATGTGCCACATTTTACATTTTTATAAAGTAATTTTTTATGTTTACAATGCACACCAAACTTGTAAGGGACTTATAAGGAATGCATGAATGTTTTTCATATTTTTATTTGTCAAACGCAGATCCTCAATAAATTTTATGGTAAGAAATGTGAAAGAACTTTGAGATATTTATATTTGAATATTTCCTTAGATTTCAGTGTGTGAAAAAAGTGAGTGGATGGGCTCTTTCTTAAACAATATCTAGGAAACTATTTAATATAATAAGCTAAAATCTCAGAGCAATTATTATAAATATGTAGAAACTTACAAGATGGTGGAGCAAAAGGCCAGAGACTGAATGTCCCAGCAGGAGAGCATGCTGAGGCTACTCACTGCACACATTGATCATTGTATTTTTAGTATACTATAGTATATAGTACGGTATAGATTATTTTAGTATCTATTCATCAGTGTTCAATCACTAACTTTAATAAAACTATGCTGCATAGCTCATAGAAGCTGCAGTGGGATCAAAGTCTCACTCAGTTCAGTGTGCCTGCAGCGATGAGCTCTCAAAGACTGCTCAGAATGCAGTATCAGTTAATGAGTAACCTTATGTTGTCATACTACACATGTCCCCACTCTGTCGCCTGCTCCCTCCTCAGGCAAGCAGCTCCTTCGGGCTCCTCTTTGACATTGACGGGGTGCTGGTGAGAGGCAAGACTCCGATCCCTGCAGCCAAGCAGTGCTTCAAAAACCTGGTGGACCGCAGCGGAAAATACAAGGTCCCTGTGGTGTTTGTCACTAATGCTGGGAACTGCATGAGGCAGACAAAAGCGGAACATCTGTCACATCTGCTTGAGGTGGAGGTAAATTGAGAGCCTTTTAAAACATTATCAGTTTGCTTTGTCTCGTGTATTTTGTTTTTAATATTCTTTGATATCAGCCATTTATTCTAGACTCTGTTTATCTCAGGTGTCTCCAGACCAGGTGATGCTATCCCATAGTCCTTTGCGAATGTTTACCCAGTTCCACAAAATGCGTGTGCTGGTCTCCGGACAGGGTCCAGTAGAGGAAGTCGCTCATAAGTATCCTGCAATAACTCGGGTAATCTGGTGCCTGCACTCTGGATGTTGACCTTTAAAGCTGAATGTTCTGTTTATTCACTTGTTTTTCTCCATGTTCCACTTTGTTATCAGTGTTTAATCGTTTCACCCTTTGTTCCCTTTACTGCTTGACAGTCTCTGTGAAGCCCTTCAACAGATTTTTTTGTTTTTTGAGTTAGTGGGATTTTGTTTTTAATTCAAGTCAAACATTGTTATTTGAAATATAAAGAAATGCAGTAAATTAAACATTGGAAAACATGTTACAAAAAAACACCAAATACCCAAAACACTGTTAAGATTTTCTACATATTTCCAGCTTGTAATTCCTGCTCAACCGGTTTGACTTTAACTCGCCAAACTTCAGCCTGGGCTTTCAGGATGTTGTTACTATAGATGTGCTCAGAGAAGCGTACCCAGTCCTAGATGTTGTGGATCACAATAGAAGACCCAAAGATGTTGTAAGTAATACTGTTTAATCCATTTATGTTCAGTTCAGTTACACGTCTTCCCAACTTTGCACAATGTCCTTCAGGTGCCGCCCACTAAAGGTTTACGGCCAATAGATGGTATGTTTCCTTTGCGCAGTCATTACATAATCCCTGAGAATTAATGATTTTCTGGTAATGTGGCCTAATTGTATGTTTTGTTTTTATTTGGTCCTGCAGCTGTTGTTTTATTTGGTGAGCCTATTAGATGGGAGACCAACCTCCAGCTTATTGTTGACGTGCTGCTAACTGGTGGGAACCCAGGCAGCACTTGGAGTTCAGCGCATTATCCTCACATCCCCGTCCTGGCATGTAACATGGACCTGCTGTGGATGGCAGAGGCCTGGAATCCCCGGTACACATCAACACCACAGTCTGAAATATTACAACCTTCAAATTTTACAGTATTCTTGTTATACAGTGCCATGGAAAAGCACTATTATCAAAACCTACCTGGCCCTGTGTGAAAAAGTGATCGATCTCTCATTAAATCATGAATTACTTTTGAGTAACCACATTTGAGAGCTGAGTTCAACTTCACCAGCCACAGTGGCCTGATTACTGAGAAACCTGTTGAATAAAGAAACCTCTTCAATAGAAGTTAAGTGAATTAGGCAAAATTATTCAAGAAAGCAACACATCATGCCACACTCTGAAGAAACCACTAAGAAACAAAGTCATTGACATTATCAGTCTAGAAAGGGGTACAAAGGCAAATCATAGTGAAAGCTATGAGAGAAAACGTGGAACACAGGTGAACCTTCCCAAGAGTGCCCGGCGTACCAAAATGATCCCAGGAGTGCATCACCTATCCAGCAGGTCACAAAAGAACCCAGAACAACATCTAAAGGACGTCCAGCAGGACAATGATCCAAAACACACCAGCAAGTGCACCTCTGAATGGCTAAAAAAACAAAACAAAATGAAGATCATGGAGTGGTCTATTCAAAGTCCAGACTTAATTCCAATTAAGATTCTTTGGCATCTGAACTTAAACGGGCAGTTCATCCTTGAAAACCCTCTGATGTGCCTGAATTAAAACAATTATTTAAAGAGGAGTTGCACAAAGCTCCTCCACAAATGCTTGCTTGCCAAGTGTGTCACAACCAGTTATTAGATTTAGGTTTTTTTATATTGGACCAAGTTGGCTTTGATAGCTTTTCCCTTAATAAATGAAATCATTTAAAAAACTGCATTTTGTATTTACTCAGGTTATGCCCAATATTAAAATTAGTTCGATCTGTAACGTTAAAGTCACAAATATGACAATGTGCAAAAAACTAAGAAAGGGAACAAAACAAAAAATTTCTCACAATACTGTATTTTCTGTTCCTTGCATCACAGGTTTGGTCATGGTATGTTCCTGGTGTGCTTAGAGTCTCTGTACAAGAAGGTCACAGGATACAAACTCAAGTACGAGGCTCTGATTGGGAAGCCCAGTGTGGTGACTTATAACTACGCTGAGCTGCTGATTAGACAACAGGCTGAAAGACTTGGCTGGAACACGCCTGTGAAGAGGGTGTATGCTATAGGGTGAGTTTTTCAGTCTACATTTAACACTTAAAAATTCAGTTTAAAAAATAATTTGAACTGAGTCCTTTTTTTTTTTATAGTGATAATCCCATGGCCGACATATATGGCGCCAACCTCTACAATCGCTACCTCCAGTCTTCTCGTCACACCAAGGCACAGATGCAGGCTCAGAGTGCTGGTGGAAGTATAGATCCCTCAGCTGTTGATGACACCCCTAAAATGACATCAGCAGAACTAGGTGGAGCTTCACGTGTGGTAGAAAGGGATCTCCCTGAGGGATGTAGCTCAATCCTGGTGTGCACAGGAGTGTACAGCAAAGACCAACAGGAGCTGCTCTCAGACCCAACGAAAACAGTCACAGAACAACGCATCTTCCATGGTCACAGAGACTTCCGCTTCGATCCCAGCCTCACTCAACCATCCTTCGTGGTGCATGATGTGAAGGAGGCGGTTGAGTTGGTATTTAAGCAGGAAGGCTGGCCACTACAGTAGGGGTCTCCATCTCATAGTCTGACCTTTCACCATTAGCAACAGGTTATCAAACCATTCCCTTGATTATTACAGGGGAGAAGTAGGTGTTACTATGTTATAACGAGCCATAGAGTCAGCTGTAAAAAGGAATAATATCAAATACATAGAAGTTGCATTTTAAATCAGTCATCCATAATAGTGCATCAGACCACTGCTGAATTCTTTTAAAAAAGTTTAAGTTTTCAATAATAGACATCACTGTTTCTGAGTCAAGGAATTCAGGTTTTTGAGTACATACATTAAGTTGTTGAATTACACATTTTAGTACTTTAAGTATTGGTAAGCTCATGAGTGGATTTCAGGTGGAATTCCTCCACAGTTACATCTTTCCAGCAAGTTTAGACTGATTCAGAAAGAGCTGTACAAAGACACAGTTTTGTGACATTACTATTTCAGGCATTTGCACAGTCAAAAAAAAGACACCCCTATAGGTCCTAATTTGTTTTTACTGCTGTCATATTTTACCTAATTATTTTTTTTAAACATGAATTTATAAGCTCTATTTAAGTTGCCAGCTATGAGTGTATTACATCATTTTTTTTACTTTAGCCAGCAGCATGTTAAATTTTATTTTGAAAAAAACTAGTCTTATTTTCTGAAGTTGGTGGAATTTAACAGTAGGGTTTTTCACATAATGAATAGTGAATGTCTGTTAGAAGACTGCAGTTATAGTTACAGCGCCACTGAAAATACAGTTTTTACATTTGTAACTGGTTTAACAATGTGTGATTTGCAGGTGACTTAAACCTGTGGCATTGTACTTCAAAAGCCATATGATGTGAAAGAACCTTAAAAAAAGGGATTAAAATGACACAAGGCTACATGTAAAACTGTAGTGTTTACTGTGCTGGAGTCTGTGTACAGAGTCCTCTGGCAGAGGAGTGGTTTGTCATCACATTCATTATCCTTAGAATAATATTACAACATGTTAAATATTAAAAAGTCAAAACATACAAAACCAGTATTCACACACACGTTGCAACACACAGTTTCTCTTTAAATAACATCCCATTCTCTGGTAGAGAAACAGGTAAATTGAGTATTCAGGCCTCCATTCCCACTCTTCGAGTGACTCCCTGCTTCAGCCTTCTCGGCACCCACACTTTTTATCTGTAACCACGGCACTAGGAACCGGGTGAGAGTTGTTACTCAGCATGAACTGAGGAGAGTTTTCAGAGGACTCGTTTATGATGGTCATACCATTGCGTGCCATTAGTTCTCGAGCCATAAGAATGAAGGCAGCCTCTATGTTCTGGGCCTCCTTGGCTGAGGTTTCCAGAGCAGCCAGCACACCACTGTCTTCTGCCAGATTGCAAGCATCCTCGAAGAGCACCTGTCTCTTAGTGTGGAGATCTGACTTATTACCTGCAGTGGTGAACAGAACCAGAGTTGGTAAAAACAGAAGTGAAGCAGATATTTGCAGCTATGATTTGTATCATTTTCAGTTAAATTATTCTTTTAGTGCAATACTTACTACAACCAAGTCTTCAGATCACATTTAAACTTTACCCGTCAAAAACATGGGGCATGTTTCTGACTTTTTGGAATTATATCTTTCCCAACAAACTTAGTAGACTTTAACTATAAGATACATTTTTTTAGGGTTAATACAGACAACAGTCACACACCGGAATCGCTGTTTTAGCACATTATGCATATGTCTTTGGTCTGTAGGTGGACGTTACACGATACACTACCTACAGAGACACAAGAAGAATATCTAAACTCTACATAAAAATACTCTCCCTCACTGGCATGCTCTTTCATGTCATTGACCTATTGCAAATTAATACAACAATACTGCATTCAGTTAGTGAGATCAGGATTTGATCTAATCATGAAAATATGGATTTATCCTGCCTTGTATCAACAGCTAAAGCTGCTGGTGTGACATTGTTTGGGATATTTTCTTGGCACATATTGTTAACACATTGTTAAACAACACAGTCTACTTCAGTCTTTTTGGTGACCATGTTCATCCCTTTATTAGCACAATCTACGGATCTGCTAATGACTTTGCAAGTGACTTTTGTCTTGTTGTTTGAATTGATTTTGTAACATGTTTTTTGTGACAATATCTACAACTCAAAAATATATTCTGCTCTGTGCAGACAGTTTACATACCAATGAGTATCAGCACCACACTGGCAGCTCCGTACAGCTCCACTTCCCTGATCCAGTGTGGAACCGATTCAAATGTGCTGCGTCGAGTGATGTCATAGGCCACCATCGCCCCATGGGCGCTGCGGTAGTAGCTTTGAGTTATGGTGCGGAAACGCTCCTGTCCCGCAGTGTCCCACACCTGCATCTGCAAAACACAGATAACACAAATATGGGTTAACCGGTTATACAGAATAGGTTAAGGATCAACAGCGTACAACTCTTAAGTTATTCAAGTATGATGTCAGGTTTGTCTGCTGTTTGCAGTTGTTTCTGAACAAATGTCTGCAAATGTCTAAACAGAATTATAAACTAGCAGCTAATAAATCAACACACCCAGAAAGCTAACAGAAACACCGAGGATACTACAGACAGCTTGTCAGCCCCTCCCCTTTCTCTGAAGAAATAAAACAAAAGGAATTCTTTACTTTAAGACAAGAGTGCACCCACACGGATCTCATAAATTGCACACACCTAAATATGTGGACAGGACTGCACTATCAGCTGTGATGCAAGTGCTTAAAATAAAAGTCATCTACCTTCACCTTCTTGCCATCAATGTCCAGGGTACGAACAGTAAAGTCAACACCAATGGTGTTTTGTTGCTTTTCGATGAAGATGCCAGATTTGAAGCTTTGCACCACGCAGGTCTTCCCAACATCTGAGTCACCAACCAAGATGATTTTAAAAAGAAAGTCAAAAGAGTCTTCAATCTCTGGCCCAGCAGTCTGCATGGTGACAAGAGGAACAGAGAGAGGGAAAAAAAACACTATCGCTGTAAGACGAGACCCAATACCTTTGGGCCTCAGTGCAAATGAACCGGTCCCTTCCAAGTTGTGTCAATAAGAACTTAGAATATTTACACAAACAGCAGTCACATCCTTGAGAAAGAAAGGGAAAAATCAATTGTCTACTGGCAGAAGTAACACAGACAGTTTGATCCCTGGTGAAAGATCCATCCAGAGCTCAATAAAAAGTAAAGGTTCTGTCAAATCTAATCTGTCAAATCTAGTGAAGCAGCTTGCTTTTTTCTTCTGCTATCTTAAACCCATTCTTTAACCTTTGTTCAACAATCAGAAAAGATTACACAATCAGCTCAGGTATTCCATAGCAGGGATAAAAATCAATATTCCTTGAGACAGACTAGTCAGAATCCAAAAGCTGTTTCTTCATCAGGAGTTTGTTTCCATATCTACATTACACCAGTAGTCACATTCTTGAAACACTAGTAGATTCTGTCCTTCTGCCCTTTAGACTGTCACTCTGTGTGCTTGCTACACCCCTGCGCCACTCAGTTTACTTCTGAGGCAGTATAAGACACGCCTCCTACCTGTGTTGGAAGTTGTGATTTCCAACTGCCAGCCCACCTGCACCACTGCATCTTGGGATATGGATTTTCTTTGTATGTTTAACAGGACTCAATACCTGAAAGAGCCAGACAGCAATCATTCATTACCAAAGGCTCTTAAAGATCGAGCTAAAATGAGTAGCTAGAACTTACCGTAAATTATAGGAGTGAACAAAAGTGTTGAAGGTTCACTCTGAGTGCAGACTTCCCATTTTAAGAGGGTGTGACTGCTACACTTGCAGCCATGCAACTATAAAAATCAGTATTTAAGCATGTGGGCATGGTCAAGATAACCTGCGGAAGTGCAAACTGAGCATCAGAATAGGCCAGAACGGTGATTTAAGTGACTTTGAATGTGGTATGATTATTGGTCCAATACAGGCTGGCCTGAGTGCTCTTATGGTGACGTCTTCCAGCAGGGTAATGCACCAGGCAAAATCATTTCAAACTGGATTCTTGAACATGACGGTGAATTCACTATATTCAAATGGCCTTCACAGTCAACAGATGTCAATCCAGAAGAACACCTTTAGGATGTGGTGGAAAGGGACATTTGAACAATTAATGCAGTTCTGGGGGCAAAATGAGCTCCAATCCAGTACTAGCAAATATACCTAATAAAGTTCACTGAGAGTGTATGTTAAATTTGTTGGATTTACTTTATTTCTAATAATTTCTCTGGTTTTGCAGTGCTGGGTTCTCCAAGCAATGATATGGTCTGCCAGCATATAACGAGCAAAAGAGGTGTCTTTGAACGCATCACTATTTAATACAGAAAGTGCTGATTGGGAGATACCACGTATTCCAAGATCATAGGAAGATAGCTGGAGTCATTTATGTTAAATGCATTTATTTTCTGTGTCTCCTCAGTAAGGTATTTAGTTGTTCTTTTAATTACTGTTAGGTTAGAGTAACAATTAAATTAAAGCTTGATTTTGCTTCTCTAATATTAGTTGATTAGCTTTGTTCCCTTGTGTCTAAATTGGTCCGATCAGCAGGTATTTAAGATCCCCTTTCCTTCTCATCTGATCAGTTTTGGTTGCTTGGATTGGTTTGAGCATTGATGTTATTTTATCTCATGTTGCTTCTTACTTTTTAAGTTGTAACATTACTGTTTGACTTTTTCTTCTAAGGATAAAATAAAGCACTTTTTTCTCAAATTTCTGTGTCCCTGTGACTAACCTTTCATGTGGAGAAAGGTTTTATTTACAAGGCTTCAAATACCTTAGAGCAAACAGCCTACACCCTTACACCCAATAAAACTACTCACGACAAAATGTAATCACGTTACATCTTTGTTTTAACAGCTGCCCACCCCACAATGATTAACAATTAAAGAAAACATAAGCTCTTCTCCCTGATTACAACCAGCTAACACATTCCAGAGCAATCAGGAAACTGTAAAGAGTTAACCACAAAATGAACAAGAAGAAACTACACAAAAATACACCAGAAAAGCATAATTTAAATCATTTTACCTCAGGCTTCACACATTGGCATCACAGTGAAATGCTAACACAGACTGAGCATACTGCTCTGAATCTCTCTCTCTCTCTTTCCACCCCCTCACTACATTCTGTCGTCATCTCAGCCCACAGAAGAACAAGGCACAGCTGGACACAGAACAATGTGTGAAGTGTGAGGGGCACTTGACCAAGCTGGGTCTATCTTTGGCTGTGACCACCAGCCACCTTCTTTCTGTCATGCGGGTGGTGCCTTATTTGTTCAGTGCAATGAAACGTGGTTTTGTTGACCACAGAATGAATGAGACCGAAACAGATCTTTGACTGTGCCACATTTATCCAAATAAAAAAAATGTATTGCAGTACATCTACAGAAAATTGTATTCTGGACTTTTAAATATCTAGTCACACGAACATCATATCAAAATTTGAATAATTCCATTGATTTAAAAAAAAAAAAAAAAAAAAAACATAAACCAAATACGTCTTCACCACAACCATCTTAAGAGAACAAAAATCCTTGTGTGACTCAGCAGAGTCTTGGCCCAGAAGCTGTGGTGGTGCAGAAATCACAGTTAAGCCCGTAACTAAGCTGCCGCATCACAGTCATACACGTCAACCTGCTGTGTCATCTCTTCTGCTGCAAATGTGCTGGACTCTGAGTCTTTCTCAGCCTAAATGTGTTGCTGAGGCTCTGTTGACTTTTTCTCTGTTTCAGAGGTTTCTTGCTTGATGTCTCGAGGGAGGATGGTTCTGGAGGAGGGACATGGATTGGCTTCCAGGGGATTGGATTGACAAAACTGGGCGATGGGTAGGATTTGTCATACGGACCTAGAGAAAAACAATCCAATGCAACAGTGACACATAAATCTCTGGAAGTCTAATTAAACTAATGAGCTACCGTCTATCTACAGGAGCCTCCGGACTAAGACCACCAGGTACCGGAACAGCTTCTTCCCCACAGCTGTCAGACTCCTGAACTCTGCCTCCTGACATCTGACCCACGTTAAACTCATGGACTGAACATACACACACCCACAACCACCTACACACACACACACACACACACACACACACACAATGAACAACTGTACCCTCAAACACACAATAATAACATGGACTGAACCACCACTCACAACCACTAGCACTTTATATAGCCTCTGTAGAAATTATCCACATGTCTCACTTATCTTAACTGCACTACTGTATAATTCTGTGTAAATAATCATTCTGTACATACGATAACTTTTAACCCTAAAACTGTTTATAACTTGCATAGTTCACATTTCTGTATAACTGTATATCTCAGATTTCTGTATAGTTTTTCATATTTATATCCTGTTCATATCCTGTACATAGCTTGTACTCACTACAGCCTGTACATACTTATAGTTATAGAATATTCATAACATACTTCATACCGTGTACATTATAACATACCATAATAGACCCATTTCTGTAATATACTTACATATCTATATTATTGCTAATATATATTGTAATATATCTATATCATGGCTAAAGCACTTCTGGATGGATGCAAACTGCATTTCGTTGCCCTGTACCTGTGCATGTGCAATGACAACAAAGTTGAATTCTATTCTATTCTATGGAATGATTATGATGTTTGAGTAAAATAAACCCAATAACGCCAAGTTAATTCAAATAAACATACTTGATGGATAGCTGGGCTTTTTGGGACTAGCTTTGCTTTTTTCATTCGCCTTTGCCAGCCATTCCTTAAACTTCTCTTCAGCCCTCCTACGCCGCTCCATCTCCTGCTCCTCCTTCAGGGAGGCTTCCTCCTGTCAAAAAGATACAAAAGAAATCTCTGAGAAACCATTTGGAATTTAAAAAAGAAGAGACAGCTGAACGAGAGCCTGATTACTTTCTCCTTCTTTTCCTTTTCTATTTTTTCTTGGTTCTTTCTTTGCAGCCAGTCTTTGTACTTTTGTTGAGCTTTCTGTTCAGTCTCCCGCCGTCTCTCCTGCTGCCTCTGCATCTCCTCCTCCTCCTTTCTTTGTTTAAGAAGTTGCTCATGTCTCTCCTAGAATTATAACAAGAAACATAAAAGACTGTAGCGTAGCAGATAAGAAGATCAACACAACAATTTTACTTGAGAAGTTGTTTACCTGTTCTGTTTTAAGTTTTAGCCATTCTTGGATCTTGTTTTCCATGATGAGCTTTTTCTGTTCCTGCTCCCGTTCTTGTTTTTCTTTTCTTTCTTTTAGTAAGTGCTCCTAATATACGGGACACACGGAGCTTTTATTGGGGTGAAATGGTCACTACAACAAATTACAATCAGAATAAAAACACTTTTCTATTATGGGGATGGGACTAATGACTGCATGCCTTTTCTACTTTCTTTTCCTGCTTAAGACGCTCCTCTTTTGCTTTATTCACCAACCACATTTCCCACGCACTGAGGGTAGGTGAAGCTGCAGGCTGCTCCGAAATCGCTTTTGGTAGCTCACATCTATAAAATAAACGCAGATATAAAATTAGCTATGCCGCAAACAAGCCAGAACTAAAGCTGAACTAAAGCTTTACTGCAGCACCTGAATGGTGAAATACTGAGCCTGGAGTCATCCCTCTCTCTGGGGGAAGTGGTCTGCTGATCTGGGGTGGATCTCAGTTCTTCTTCGTCACTGTCGAAGCTGTCATGATAGATTGGAGAAAGCAGAGAAAAAGTGTCTTCTTCGTCGGATAGGATTCCGTCGCCAAAGTCCTTTGATGGATGGAAGTCTTTGAGAGGGGTCGAGCTGAAGCAGTTGGGTAGCCTCTCTCCAGACATCACTAGCCAGCAAATCTGTAGCGGACAGCACAAAAGCGAATAAAGTTCGCTAAGTCTTTTCTGTTTTCTTATGTAAAATGTAAAAGAAATGGGTAATGAGACACATAAATCTGAAATTCCAATGTCAGACACGGACGACGCTATATGAAAATATGTATTTAGCAGCATGCTAACGTTAGCTCAGCTCCTTAGCTCACTCCAACGACAACATAAACACATTTTGTGACATGCTATGAAACATTAGCAGAGCAAACTAGCTTACCGGAAAAAACAAATGCAAACTGGAGCTATTATGTTTAATTTTACAGGTTAACTGTCTCTTTCCAGGCCAGCTGGTCTCTTCTTCCAATCACGAGTTTGCAGCAGCGGAGGTTAGAAGTGATTTACAAACTTTTTCCCATGATACACCACGCCCCCACGCTGAGCTGGACGCTGTTGTCGTAACCATGGCGACACCACAAAAACGCACGTAGTTTAACAGTCCTAATCAACCTGCTCAAACTGCTTCACATTTCCACTTTTTATTTAAAGTAATAATGGTACAAAATCTCACGTTTGTATATTACTTCCCAGTTTAAATTACACTAAAATATAGGCCACTTTTTTTTTTTTTTGCTTTAAAGGACTAAATCCGAAAAGAAATTTAAACTTGTTAACTTAATTCTTGTTTTCTAAGGCATTAAGGATGTATACTATATATATACTACTATGTATACTACAACCGTTCCAATCTGGAAAAAAGTTCAAAGACATCATATGAAGCTCAAAATTACCATGACATTCATGTTTGTGATGAGTGTGTGATACACTGTGTGTAAACTTTTAGCTGTTTCTTCATTAAAAAAGGCAATTGGGACATTTAAATATGATAAAGCTTCAATCATTTTGTGAGGTTCATTAGAATGACTGCTTCTATCATATTTTATTACATGGGACATTCCTAAAGGTGGGGAAGACAGAGAAATCAGATATATTGATTGGACTATTGCTTCATTTCTGGTAGTATTATTGCAAGGTGCTTATCATTAAATGTTGTCAGCATATCAATAAAATGTAGATAAGTCTAAAAATAAGTCTATTAAGGACTGTAGACTTTGTACTTTAATGAATTCCAATGTTCAGTGCTTGTTTGGACAGCTAGTTCACCTCCTACAGTGATAAAATGCTGTCTGTCTCAGAGCTCCTTTAGTTGAAGTTAACCTGCACATGCACCCTGTCTCACTCTCACTTAACATTTTGAGTCTAATTACCAGCAGGCCAGTCAAAATGAGGTTGTACGGGGAAGTGAAGAGAAGAGCTGCTTTCACAGAGACATGTAATATTTTGTGAGTGTTTGTAAAACCTTCTGCACTTGTTTATTTTTTAATGTTACAATAATATTGTACGTTCCCACAATACAACTGTGATTATGTTAACTGAAAACAGTGAGCATGTCAGCAACCGTGGTTAACCTCAATCATGGAAAGATTAACCTTCAAAGGGAGACATTAGTTATTGGGCTTATTGTATTCCCAGAAACTAACTACTACTACTCCAGAGCTCCACTTAATAAACTGATTATATTTATCATCACATGACAGACCATTCATTGGCAACATTATTTAAGTCATTATTTATACCAGGTATCTTATAAGATGACTTGAAGTGAAATTGAACCCGTTTGATCTGGATAATAATGCTATCTTCACAGCATTAAAGATCATTATTTAAAAAAACAAAAATAAATAAATCAAACAGCCACATGTTTATCTTTGAAATATTAGAAATATTTTAGGGTTGTCCTCTAAATAGCTCCCATCCATCACTCCTCCCTTATATAGTTTTTCATAATGTGTGAAATCTGAGTAATACATCCACACTTCCCCGTAAAATAAAGATGGACGAATCAGGTATGGCCATTTGCAGAAAACAGGTGGGTGTGGCTGAGTATACGTGTCCAGTGTCAGAGTTACACCTGGTTGTGAGATTCCAGCTTCTGTTACTCCTTCCCGACAAGGGCAGCAGTTCTCATTCAAAGCTCTTTACCGACAGCATTCACCCCACCAAGCAGAAGAGCTGCCCGGGATGGTAGCAGGAGACTTCAGGAGACTCCCAGAGGGCAGAAGCCCACTGCGACGTATCTCCCACACGCCTCATCTAGACCAGAGACCACGAAAGAAGCCTCGCAAGAAGCTCCAAGTGATCATCTGTGTACTTCTTGTGGAGTTATTTGAAAGGTTCACTTTCTTTGGGATTGTATGTAACATGATTCTATTTTGCACTGTGAAGCTCGGATATGACAACTACCTCGCTGCAACAGTCAACCTGTGCTTCATAGGAGCCAGCACACTCACCCCTGTTCTGGTTGGCTGGTTTGCAGAAGCCTGTCTAGGAAGGACTAAGGTGCTATACGTGTGTGCGTTTCTTCATTTCTTTGGTAAGACACAAGGGATTAAAGGTTGACACAAGTTGGCTGCCAAGAATTTGAAGCCATATGACTTCTAAAACAGCGTTTACCATCTTGGACTGTATTATTGTGAAAAGCAAGACTAGAGTAAGATCTGATGTTAGGCGATGACAGCTGTTTATAATGTTGTAATATTATAATGTATTTATTTTTATTTTTAAATGGCAGGAAAACAGGTGGGCACCTTGTACTTCTTTTCATTTGTTTCAGTAATTTTTTTTTGACTACATATCTCATGAATGTATCAAATCAACCATTGCCAAAAAGAAAATATCACTCAGAATCATTAGATGCATCTGCCACTGTAGGTACAGCCATGTTGCCTGTGGTGGCATTTCCCTTTGAGGATTTCTACATCGACAGCCACCACATGACCCACCAGCTGGGGTCTCGGGAGCAGCAGATTCTTTTTTACACTGGCCTGCTGGCTGCTGCACTGGGCATCGGTGGCATCCGAGCTATCCTTTGCCCCATGGGAGCTTACAACCTGCAGGGCTACAACCAGCACCAGCTCCTGACCTTCTTCAACTGGTGGGTGATGAGGCTACCCTGACGCATCATACATGTAGTTTACCAGTAGATTCATTTTTAGTTCTGCGAGGTTGGGTTTCGTATGGTTTGATTTCAGACAAAAAAAGTAGTAGTGACATGCCTTTGTTATTATATTACAAACAAACCTTTCTGACATAATGGTAATTCTATACTAGAGTGCATGGGGGGTTTCCTCTAAGGACTCCTTCTCCTTTCATAGACAAAACAAGTTTAAATTGAACCACCCTAGATGATGAAATTAGCACAAAGATATTTTGGATTTAAGTCTGACCAATATCACTGGCTCACTCTAAGATTTTTTTTCTCTTAATTTAGGTTCTACTGGCTGGTGAATCTGAATTCCACTGTTGTGTTTCTGGGCATTGCTTACATCCAGCAATCTGTGGCCAAAAATCTGGGCTTCCTCATCCCCTTCACCTCAGTGCTGCTGGCTCTCATTGCCATACACATGATGCGCAGTAACCTCACCTACAAACCCAAGAAAGGTAAGATACCAAAAAAAGGATTAGAAAGAGAAAACCTTTTCCTCGTCTCCTTTTTTGTACAGGCCACAAAAAGTTCAACTGTTCGTGCTTCATGCTTTTATTGAGCTTAGGTGGATCATTACTGACCACATTGGGAGTTTTCTTGAACTCTTTCAAGATGTGCTGCCTCCACTATCGCTACTTGAGCGGGCAGGTAGCATCTTGGCTGGACCAGGCGAAAGAGAATAATGGTGGCCGGTACAGTGAGACTCACGTGGAGAATGCCAAAGTCCTGGCCAAGCTCTTCCCTCTTTATGGGCTTCAGCTGCTCTACAGAGTCTGCCTCACACAGGTAGGTCCCTGAGAAATTATAATGCATGAAGCAGAAAACTGACATGTTTAATCGCCTTCAGGTCTGGTTAAGAAATATGCCTCCCACAGATCCCCTCAGGTTACTACATTCAGACGATGAGCTCCAACCTTCACCTGAAGGACCACCTTTTGCCCATCGCTGCCATGAATGTGATCAGCATCCTGCCTCTGCTGCTCTTAGCGCCACTGATGGAGTGTGTGATGACCTGCTACCTGTCCATGGAAAAAACTCCTCCAGCACCTGTAAAACGTATTAGTGAGTATTTACATGCATGCAAGCCCCAACTAGTTCGCATGTTGTCGTTATTTATTCTCTTAAATATTCCTTTATCTCCTCTCATTCCCTCTTTTTGTCTTGTAATCACAACCTCCCGTTCCTCAGCCCCCTCTCTCATCACCCCACCCTGTCCATCCTCCCCCTCCAGCTCTGGGCCATGCATGTGCCACTCTGTCGGTCCTGGTTGCAGGTTTGACTGAGCTGCAGAGGAAGTCTTACCCCCTGGTGGAGCAGACACTTTCTGGAAAGCTTTTGCAAGTTTCTTCCATGCCGTGTTTCCAGCTGGCTCCTCAGTACATCCTGCTCGGTCTGGCAGAAGCTCTCGTCACCCCTGCGTGTGAGTGGGAGACTTACTGTTATGTCTCCGTTTGTGCATATCATTCTGATTTGTGAAACGAGTATAATGTGGCACATAAGCAGCAGGAGACATGCTCATACAGTTTCTGTTGTCTGGCAGGCTCCCTCATTTCTTTCCAGCTCACCCCGAACCACATCAGAGGGATCGCCCTGCACTTCCTCACTCTGTCCTATGGAGGGGGATGTTTTCTCGGTGCCTTTATTATTCAGCTGATGTACTTTCTCTCTGGAGGTAAAATTCAAACAAACAAACAAGAAAATACAAATACAGGACTAACAAATGACATAGAGGCACTGGTACTAAACACTGTGGTGCTCTGTTACAGGAAGCTTTTACCCAAGCACACTGCATGATGGCAATTTGGAGAGATTCTTCTTCCTCTTGGCCACACTGATGGCTGTAAATACCCTGGCATTTTGGAGTGTGTCATACAGGTACAGTAAAACAGGTAGACGATGATCCAATAAAGTTTAGATTGTTCCATGTCCATCACAGTCTGTTGAAGGTTCATATCAACAGCTGGTAAAGAATTTGATGTTTTAGCAAAAACACATACATAGAGTTTGATATAAGAAACATGATAACTAAACGGTTTCAGTGTAAACTTTTTATTCAAAGCATGTTTTTACAAGTATATTTGTAAAAAGAAAAAAAAGTGTAGCCCTGTCTGCAATTATTCGGGCTTGCAGTATAAAGAAAAAGTGTATTGTAATAAAAAATGGTTAAACTATAAATAGTTGATAAAACGTTTAAAAATCATATGCTTTGGTACAAATGTATTTCATTTACAGTTAAGAGTCCAATAAGTAAAAGGGTTTCATGATTTAGAGTTAATTTTCTGTGCACACTAAATATGTTGGGGTGTAACCTAAGGTTATTTACCCATCTAGTGTCAGTTATCTCAATATGGTATTGTCATTGGTTGTTGTGCTGACGAGCCAGTCAATGTCACTCTTCTCTGTTATGGGGGCGGGACAAGTGGTAAGGTTTGTGTGAATCTGTGGGAGCGGACACAGAAGCTAAGTCCGAAGAGAGAGATGTCGTAAGGCAAACGTGGTGTGGATTTTGCATCTAAGTGTGTCATTGAGGTCGACTACCCGTGGTCCTGATAGTACTTATTTGTGATCTGCAAGAGAAGCCGAGGGACGCTCTGAAAGGAGAGAGAGGTTTCTGCCCGGATGGACCACTTGTGTCAAGCCAGCCTCCAATTCGAGACTTGCAGTCAAGCCAGCCTCCAGTTTGTTTTACGTTCCCTGTGTATTCAAAGTATTACGGGAATGGATGTGGAAACCGGATTTCAAAATAAAAGCCAACTTCGAGTGAATTAACAGATATGTTAAGAACATAATAACATATAATTTAGGCTTTTTTTTTTTTTACAAACTCTAATATTAGATCTATATGACACAGCCTTGCACCCTAATTGTGCCCTGTCACTATCAAGGCCATCTTATTTTGGATTTCAAAGTAAAAGCCCTGTGAATCTTCATTTTTGAACTACTCTTTCAATGACTTAATAATGCTCTTAAAAGCAAAAGTCGTATTTCCAAATACTATTTGAACTTTATATCAACACTTTCCAACCACAGTCTTTTTACAGTGATACCATATCAATATCAAGTCAGTCTGATTTTGCCTTTCATAGTAATGGCCCTTTGAAATTGTCCATAATTGACTTAATCTTCTAACGATTCAAAATGCTCTAAAATGAAAAATTCTTGTTTCCACAGGGTAATTCCACCTTAGATCAACAGTATACAGCCCCACAGTGATACCATATCAATATCAAGTCATTCTGATTATGCCTTCCAAAATAAAAGCCTTTTTAAATTGTCCATAATTGACCTAACTTTCAGTGATTTCAAAATGTTTTAAAATGGAAATTTCCTGTTTCCACAGGGTAATTCCACTCCAGATCAACAGTATACAACCTCACGATGTTACCATATCAATATCAAAACATTCTGATATTGCTTTAAAAAATAAAAGCATTTTCAAACTGCCCATATCTGAGTTGCTCCTGGAACAATTTCAAAATGCTCTAAAATGGCACATTCCTGTTTCCACAGGGTAATTCCACTTTAGATCAACAGTATACAGCCCCACAGTGATACCATATCAATATCAAGTCATTCTGATTTTGCTCTCAAAAATAAAAGCCTTTTCAAATTGTCCATAATTGACCTAACTTTCAGTGATTTCAAAATGCTCTAAAAAGGAAATTTCCTGTTTCCACAGGGTAATTCCACCTTAGATCAACAGTATACAGCCCCACAGTGATACCATATCAATATCAAGTCATTCTGATTATGCCTTCCAAAATAAAAGCCTTTTTAAATTGTCCACAATTGACCTAACTTTCAGTGATTTCAAAATGCTCTAAAAAGGAAATTTTCTGTTTCCACAGAATAATTTCACTTTAAATCAACAGTATACAACCCCACAGAGATACGATGTTGAGATCAAGTCACTCTGATTTTGCCTTCCAAAATAAAAGTATTTTCAAATTGCCCGTAGACGACCTACTCGTTTAACGATTTCAAAATGCTCTTAAATTGAAAGATGCTGTTTCCACAGGATAATTCCACTTTAGATCAACAGTATCCAACCCGACAGTAAAACCATGTAAATTTCATGTTGGTCTGATTTCGCCTTTCAAATTAATGGCCCGTCGAATTTGTCCATATGTGATATACTCTTTCAATTATTTCAGAATGTTTTAAAAATGAAAATTGCTGTTTCAACACATATTGGGTTTTCATTTTGAAAAGCAAAATCAGACTCAATTGATTATGACAGAATTGAATCATAAAGATGATGTAAAAGGAAGCTGAAATTGCCACTAGGTTGTAATTGATAGTACGTTTATATTTTAAGTCTGTGGAAAGATGTCATTCTAAATAAAGAAATTACAAAACAGCTTGCAAACCAACCATGACATCTTTCCATGACTTGAAATTGAAGTAGTACCATGGTGTGGATGTACACTTTTGATCTAACATGGATTCATCCTGTGGAAAGAGCAAGTTTCATTTTTAGAGCGTTCTGAATTCTTTAAAAGAGTAGGTCGTATATCGGCAATTTGAAAAGTCTTTTATTTTGGAAGGCAACATCAGACTGATTTGATATTGATATGGTATCACTGTGGGGTTGGATACTATTGATCTAAAGTGGAATTATGCTGTGGAAACAGCAATTTTCCATCTTAGAGCATTTTGAATTCGCTCCAAGAGTAAGTCATATATGGGCAAATTGAAAAAGCTTTTATTTTGAAAAGCAAAATCAGACTGACTTGAAATTGACATGGTAACATCGTGAGGTTGTATACTGTTGATCTAAAGTGGAATTACCCTGTGGAAACTGAAATCTTCCTTTTTAGAGCATTTTGAAATCACTTAAAGTTAGGTAAATTATGGGCATTTTCAACAGGCCATTATTTTGGAAGGCATAATCAGAATTACTTGAAATTGATATGGTAACATCGTGAGGTTGTATACTGTTGACCTAAAGTGAAATTATCCTGTGGAAACAGCAATTTTCACTTTTAGAGCATTTTGAAATCTTTAAAAGAGTAGGTCGTATCTTGGCAATTTGAAAAGTCTTTTATTTTGGAAGGCAAAATCAGAATGACTTGATATTAATATGGTATCACTGTGGGGCTGTATACTGTTGATCTGGAGTAGAATTATCCTGTGGAAACACGAAATTTCCATTTTAGAGCATTTTGAAATCACTGAAAGTTAGGTCAATTGTGGACAATTTGAAAAGGCTTTTACTTTGGAAGGCAAAATCAGAATGACTTGATATTAATATGGTATCACTGTGGGGCTGTATACTGTTGATCTAAAGTGGAATTACCCTGTGGAAACAGGAAAGTTCCATTTTAGAGCATTTTGAAATCACTGAAAGTTAGGTCAATTATGGACAATTTAAAAAGTCTTTTATTTTGGAAGGCATAATCAGAATGACTTGATATTGATATGGTATCACTGTGGGGCTGTATACTGTTGATCTAAGGTGGAATTACCCTGTGGAAACAGGAATTTTCCATTTTAGAGCATTTTGAAATTGTTCCAGGATCAAGTCAGATATGGGCATTTTGAAAATGCTTTTATTTTTGAAAGCAAAATCAGAATGACTTGATATTGATGTGGTAACATCGTCAGGTTGTATACTGTTGACCTAAAGTGAAATTATCCTGTGGAAACAGCAATTTTCACTTTTAGAGCATTTTGAAATCTTTAAAAGAGTAGGTCGTATCTTGGCAATTTGAAAAGTCTTTTATTTTGGAAGGCATAATCAGAATGTTTTGATATTGATATGGTAACATCGTGAGGTTGTATACTGTTGACCTAAAGTGGAATTATCCTGTGGAAACAGCAAAATTCTTTTTAAGAACATTTTGAAATCGTTAAAAAAGTAGGTCGTATATATGCTCAATTTGAAAGGGCATTTATTTTGGAAGGCATAATCAGAATGACTTGATATTGATATGGTATCACTGTGGGGCTGTATACTGTTGATCTAAGGTGGAATTACCCTGTGGAAACAGGAATTTTCCATTTTAGAGCATTTTGAAATTGTTCCAGGATCAAGTCAGATATGGGCAGTTTGAAAATGCTTTTATTTTTGAAAGCAAAATCAGAATGACTTGATATTGATATGGTAACATCGTGAGGTTGTATACTGTTGAACTAAAGTGAAATTATCCTGTGGAAACAGCAAAATTCTGTTTAAGAACATTTTGAAATCGTCAAAAAAGTAGGCCGTATATGCTCAATGTGAAAGGGCATTTATTTTGGAAGGCATAATCAGAATGACTTGATATTGATATGGTATCACTGTGGGGCTGTATACTGTTGATCTAAGGTGGAATTACCCTGTGGAAACAGTAAATTTCCTTTTTAGAGCATTTTGAAATCACTGAAAGTTAGGTCAATTATGGACAATTTGAAAAGGCTTTTATTTTTGAGAGCAAAATCAGAATGACTTGATATTGATATGGTATCACTGTGGGGCTGTATACTGTTGATCTAAAGTGGAATTACCCTGTGGAAACAGGAATGTGCCATTTTAGAGCATTTTGAAATTGTTCCAGGAGCAACTCAGATATGGGCAGTTTGAAAATGCTTTTATTTTTTAAAGCAATATCAGAATGTTTTGATATTGATATGGTAACATCGTGAGGTTGTATACTGTTGATCTGGAGTGGAATTACCCTGTGGAAACAGGAAATTTCCATTTTAAAACATTTTGAAATCACTGAAAGTTAGGTCAATTATGGACAATTTAAAAAGGCTTTTATTTTGGAAGGCATAATCAGAATGACTTGATATTGATATGGTATCACTGTGGGGCTGTATACTGTTGATCTAAGGTGGAATTACCCTGTGGAAACAAGAATTTTTCATTTTAGAGCATTTTGAATCGTTAGAAGATTAAGTCAATTATGGACAATTTCAAAGGGCCATTACTATGAAAGGCAAAATCAGACTGACTTGATATTGATATGGTATCACTGTAAAAAGACTGTGGTTGGAAAGTGTTGATATAAAGTTCAAATAGTATTTGGAAATACGACTTTTGCTTTTAAGAGCATTATTAAGTCATTGAAAGAGTAGTTCAAAAATGAAGATTCACAGGGCTTTTACTTTGAAATCCAAAATAAGATGGCCTTGATAGTGACAGGGCACAATTAGGGTACAAGGCTGTGTCATATAGATCTAACATTAGAGTTTGTAAAAAAAAAAAAAGCCTAAATTATATGTTATTATGTTCTTAACATATCTGTTAATTCACTCGAAGTTGGCTTTTATTTTGAAATCCGGTTTCCACATCCATTCCCGTAATACTTTGAATACACAGGGAACGTAAAACAAACTGGAGGCTGGCTTGACTGCAAGTCTCAAATTGGAGGCTGGCTTGACACCAGTGATGGACCCTGCTGTTTCCTCGCCCCTGACTGTTGTTTTCTTACCCCTGACTGTCTTCACTACTGGTGAACTAACTGCCCGTTTCTGATTGCCCCACTAACAAACTCATTGGACTCGTGAGTACTAACTGGAACTAAAGTGCACATATTTTGTTTATTGCTCAGTTTGAGTGAAGCGGCCATCAGTTTTAGGCCTCACCGCACCCAAACTTCGAATCAGGCCTGCATCAAGCACCGTGCTACAGGTGTAGTGTGGACAGGTTAAAGTGTGTGTGTGTGTGGGCCCACTGTTACACAATCGGTTTAAATTGAGTAAGTGTGTAGTTGATCAAAGTTATTGTCAAAGGTTGAAATTCATCCATGTTAAAGGTGTGAGCTGTTGTAGCTGAAATAACAGTTGAAATACCTAAAAAGGAGGTATTTTGGGTTGATAATCTTTTATTTAAAATCCATGTAGTCATTTTTACAGTATTTTTGTTTGTTTATTTGAATTCAATCCATTTTATTAAAGTAACTGTTTATTTTATTCATTTCTTTTGTCTAAATAAATACCCGGTGAGGGATAAATTTGTGTAAAATACAGTTGTGGTGGTCCTTATTATAGCAATTAGAGGGTATCAGGTATTATTATTAGTAGCACTACGAACCCAGGCCCAGTCTCATTGTACTATATACTCTAGCTTTACCATAGCTACGTGGGACCTGGGTTACAAAAGTATCACAGCTCTAAGTGTATTTCTTGTTACATTAATGTTGTGCAGGTACGTGGACCTAAGTGTTCAGGGCAAAGCGCTGACCATCAGCCCTCTGACTGAGAAGCTGCTGCATTACAAGGCCTGTCTGCGCTTCTACGACACTGTAGACCGCACCGACTGCATTTTATGAATGATTTCTCTAAAATGTCCTCTGTTACTGGTGCTAGCACTTTGTTACCGAGTCAAAATTTATAGTGATTGACTAAATTGTAAAAATGTAAAAATGTAATATATGAAGTGTGCATATTTTATTTATTTTCACGTATATTGTGTATTTAATTAAACGTCATGAATTGTGAGCTTTGTTTTATTTACATAAATGTGAATTCAGGAGTAAACTGTGACATTTCTATATTGAAAAGGTGAATATTAGTACAATAAACTCAATAAAGAATATTATTATTAGTATGCATGGTCCTTACTTTAAGGCAGTTTAGCTAAAGCAATGACTCCGTTTACGTGACTGAACAGTAGCTGCAATTACAAAGCAATCATATTTCAAGCTCTCCTCACAATGAAAATCAGACTTAAAGCTATTAACCACTTTTCCAAACAAAGTGTGCTTAAACGTGATCAATTTTAGACATGACACAAACAGAATAACGTAATCTGTTTTTAACCGTCACTTTGAAAAATATATAAACATTTAAAGAGTATAACTACCTTTAAATTATTGCATCTTATATCAGGATAAATTTCAATACAAATAGTAAATAAACATTATATAACTATATGTATTTTTGTGAAGGTTTCTCCAGTGAATTATCAGGAAAAAAGGACAAAGCATCCAAGGTACCGTCCTCGTTTCTGTTAATCAGTTATGTTGTCACCAAGAAATTTCTAGGACTGATGTGAAAAATATGAAATGAGCATTTAATCAAACATGTCTCTAACTGCGTGTCATCACAACTTTATTTTATTCATGCAAACATGAATTTAAGAGTATACTGTAATATTACCTCATCAAAAAAGGTAAATTATAGTTTATTAAAATCAGTAAACAAATTATTATCATGATCCTTCATTTGAGTCATTTCAGAAAAAGCAATCCTTTACTTTGAGTCAGTTGAGCAGTAGTTTCCCATCGCTTTAAAACAAACAAAAGCTTGTTTTCATTTTGTTCCTCTACCTTACAACACAATAAACTCAAAAAGACTCACCCTCTATGTTTAAAGCTCTAAATATAAATAATGCAACATAAATGAGACTTAAGTTACAGAGAAATCATCCTCTCAAAGTCTCTTTGGGCTCAGTTTTAGGCATGAAGGAAGCTGTAAAATCAGCCTTAAAATGAAATACTAAAAAGGCATGTTACATTGTTTATTATGTGTTTTGTATCATTCAAGTCTTTCACAAAACTGCAAATAAAGAGGAGTTTAGTCACAAGAAAAAGCAGAATAATAGAAATTCTCTCCTAAACTCTCAGGGAGTTGAGCTGTTATTACATTTTACACCTTGATATAAAAACTAACGAGGTAAGAGTCATCAAAAAGTGCCAAATGTCAGATTTTACATTTTAACAAGCATCTTGGGAAAGACTTAAAAATATCCGCTGTTTAACTCACACAGCAGAAACCTCAGAAATATTCATATATTTGTGTTGAGCTATTTGGATTTCCCTTGCGACCAATTCCGTCCAAGCTACTTTCACTTTTCCCACTATTTGGACACTGAAGTAGCTGAATTGCTCATGTTATGTTTATTATCAAATATGTCTTAATGTCTTAAAAGTATTAATTTATTTACTTGAAAGGGGGAAAAGGTAAAAAAAACATTTATCAATCAGTGTTTTGATGCAGTTTTACTACTATTTAAAAGAAAAAAGATAGTTATAATAAGAGGAAAGGTAATTGTTTACTGTTTGATTCTTGATTTTTAACTGAGAAAGAAGTACTCAGAGATTATTTTTATCACTTTGTCAATCAGTGCACTAATATTGGAAACTGCACTATTGTCTCTAACTCTGAATTTTAAATGTGCAGCTTGTCCTGAAGATAACACTTTATTAATGTGTGCAGCAGTGAGCACAAAGTCTTCAGTGATGAGGAATTCTCCACAGACATGTTGACCCTTGTTATTCTGAACTGATCCCATGTAGGGTATCGAGTTGTCCGGAGCTTTTGTTCCATGAAAAATTCCTGTTGAAAACTCTGGTAAATTAAAAAAAAAGAAGATGATAAAGTTAGTGTGCCGTTTACAGCCGTAAGATAAATCAGGTATATTTGATGTTCACACTGATGCCTTGTAGACATGGTAGAAAACAAAGAAGAAACTTGTGAAGACAGTGCATGGTGCCAGCAGGACACTCAAACTGTCCTTTACTCAGTAGAAAGACTTTTATACATCACGCGTCTTAGTTTGAAGGCTGGTCTATCGTTATCATCTCGACTTCCTGTCATGCCAACCTCTCTGCAGTGCAGGTTTGATTTACCATTATCTAATGTCAAAAGGGGGATGGTGCGTTACAAGGCAGCAAGAGAGACAGAAAGGCAGGAGAGTTCAGGTAAGAGTTGGATTTTAAATAGAGGGCTCTGTGTGCGGGCAGGCAGAGATGAGGATCCAAATGCAGGACTCAAACACAGAATTGTAACTCAAAACCTCAGCTTTATTGCTGGAGAAATTAAAACATGAACTGAACAAGGGTAGTGAACACGAAAATATTGACCACAGTATAAAACACACATCCGATGGTACGATGCGGCACTGAGCAAGGGCAAACACAGGGCTAATATACACAGGGAAGTAATCAGGGAATGGAAAACAGGAAACAGGAAAACAATACACACTAAACTAACACTAAACTAAGACACGGACTGGACAGAGAGAGACAGACTAGACACTGAACTAAACCAGCAAAAAACATGAGAACACAAAACCTAAGAACTAATCCCTAAACAAGAATAACTAAAACATAGATTAATAATCATCATCATCATCATCATAACCAACAAAAGCACCACAAGAGAATAAGAAAACAATCCATAATGCAAAAACACACCAAAACATAACAACTCAAAATACTGGCTCAAACTGACCCAGAACCGTGACAGGTAAGGAGATGTCATTTCAGGACTTAAACCAGACTCTAAGAAATTGCTGTGTCTAATTTTGCGATGCTGCGAGTAACAAACTGGGTTCCGTCTGGAGGTTGAAGAGGAACTCTCCCTCGCCAGGCCGACAGCCGTCTGTGCCACAGTTTATCTCATCTCAGTTTATCTCATGGAGTGCAGGGCTAAATTTAAAATTATTAGATATTTAAGACAATGTATATATTCTTCTATGACAAAAAATACAAGTGTTCATTTAAGCAAATAAACAGAGCCGTAAGAGATGTTTTTCAGAAATTGTTGTCTTTATTTTGATTTGCAACTAACAAATTTTTTAAAAATTTGTAGTTTTTGTCGTGCTCTCTATTATGTGAACCCCTCACCTAATTTGTTGTGTTTTTTAACAAATTAAACCCTAACAATCAAATGATCCCCTGTGAGCAAGCACTAGGCACAGTGGAAAGGAAAAACTCCCTTTAAACAGGAAGAAACCTTTGACAGAACCAGGCTCAGGAAGGGGCAGCCATCTGTCGCGACTGGTTGGGGGGTGAGAGGCAAAAGAAAAGAAAAATGAGAGCACAAGTTAGCTAAATGTTGCGCACGTTGTCTAACATGAACAACGTATGGTTTTCTGGACTGTGGATGAAAAGCAGTCCATCATTACTAGTCTTTAAAAGGGAACTAATCCATCACCAAGGTGGCAATATGGCTCAAGGAGGCCATAGACAGAGTTAAATAGGCAATCACTGTTAAGCATTGAAAAGCCCCAGTAAGCTGCAGGTATAATAAGGCCTACTGCGGCAACACCTAAACCTATTTTAAGTAGGCGTTTGGCACCATGACGCCATGAACCACTAGTCGGAGCCACGTCAGGAGATGGTTCTGAGACAGGACAATCAAGCTCTTCAGGTTGAAGATCAAGATTCTCCTGTGTCGGGACCACATCAGGAGGTGGTTCCGAGGCAGGGAAACCTCCAGCAGAACCAGGCTCAGGAGGGGACAGTCAACTGCTGGGACTGGTTGGGGGGGGGAGGGTGAAAAAAGAAAAAAGATGAAGAAGGTGGAGAATATGTGTTAGGGGGGACAGGAGAGGTGAAAAGTAAGATGGATCACAGGTGGAGGAGGACGAGGCTAAATCATCTGAATAAGCGGCAGAACCAGCCTTTTTTCTTCTTTTTCAGGTATTTTTCCATGAGCTCGTTCTCCAGGATAAGGGTTCTCAATTGATCATTTGTTTCTGCATTCTGCTGCTCGAGTTGCTGGCATCTTTGCTCCATTTCTTTTAAAGTTTCTTGTTTTTTTCTAAGCTTTTCTGTCAGGTCTTCATGTATTTTCTCTTGTTGTTGCTTTTGTGCCTGCATTTCAATTATTTGGCTCTTCAAGTCATTGGACTTCAACAACATCTCCTTAATGACCGCTGAGTGTTTCCTCTTCATTCCATCAATCCTACGCTGCATCTTTGAACATCGTTTTTCCAGTATTTCCTTTTCTCTTTGCAGTTCAGGTGTTTCATTACAAAATTCTAGCAATTCTAGATTCCTTCTCTCAAGGTCCCGGAGAATACGTTTTTCTTTGTTCTGTTGCTTTTTTTCTTCAAGAAGCTTTTTCTTTTTGCACTTTGTTTTACCAAACCTGACTATCAGATCGTTGTACAATTTCTGTGTGGCTTTGAGTTTGTCCTGCATTTGTATTTCCTTTTCTCTTTGCAGTTTAAGTGTTTCGTCATGTTCTTTATTATAAAATTCTTGCAATTCTAGATGCCTTCTCTCAAAGTCCTGGATAATACGTTTTTCTTCTTCCTGTTGCTTTTTTTCTTCAAGAAGCTCTTCATTTTTGCACTTTGTTTCACCAAACCTGACTATCAGATCGTTGTACAAGTTCTGCATGGCTTTGAGTTCGTCCTGCATTTGTATTTCCTGTTCAGTCTTCTGTTGGTGGATTTTTTCAATTGTTTTCTCCACTTCATTGAGCTTTCCTCGAAGCACCTGATTCTGTTTCTCAATGTTTTGGAGATCCCACTGTATCTCCTCAATATTAGCTTTCTTTCGTTGAAGCTGGGCAGATGTTTCTTTTAATTCAGCAC